AAAAAAAAAAAAAAAAGTTATGCATTTTCATTTTTCTGGATTTATGATTTAATACAAATAATACAAATGTAATATTTAAATGGTTGTAATCAAATGAAGGCATAATCAACATTAACAATTTAATTAATCCTTTAAAGTTTTAAATCAAATGAAAATGAAAAAGTCTTTTTTGTTCAATAATAATGTATTTGTTTGACAACATACCAACAATTCTCTGCCCGTCCTCTGTTCTCAAACGCACAATCTGTATCTTCACGTTGGCTCCGCTGACTGAAGCCAGTACGCCCTCCACTTTGGTCCACACACTGAGGACGGAGCCACAGAGGACGTAGTACGTCCTGCACCGCAGCCCGATATCACACTGTAGCCCCACCGACACTTTCTTACAGTTCCCTCGCCTGTCAAAAAAAGAGTGTTCCTCATGACAACATTTTCAGACTTTACAATGTGCAAATCAAAAGTGAAACTCCATGTTTGTTTCTATTTTCACTTCTGAAATAACTTAAAAGAAGCACCTACCAGTACGCGTGCGAGCAGACGTTAGCCGAGGAGTTGTACTGATCAATCCAGTGCTGCTTGGCATCATCAGAGAGGACCTATTTTGAGATGAGAAGGATTAGAGACTGTACGAGCTGAAGAAATTACATGAAAGAGTGTGCAGGATGCCAACAGGATCTAGAATTAACATTCACCAAGCACCAAACGAGACAGCAAATTTTTGATTTTGGATGTTGACATAATTGGTTTAAACTGCATGATAACATGACCCTCGTTATAGCGATACAGATGTTTTAGGACTTCAGACATGCAGCTATGAAGCCTGAATGTCACGTGGCAAATGCAATGCTGGTGTAAAACATTTGAAGATCAAATTTATGATGTTGTGATCATGATCTCTGCAGAGGAGTCTGCAATTGGAGTAAAACTGCTGCTCTCACACAGCACGTTGAGCCAATGTCTGATCTCAAAGTAGCTGACATAAAAGCAGGTTTTGATTTTGGGATTTTTTTTAAGGTGCCGTTTCACCGTGAGACTAGCTAGAACAAGCTGCTTGTATCAAATGACACAATAGCTAGCGTAGCCATATGTCTTCATTTTTTCCCCGGACATGTCCTGGCCAGGATTTCTACATTGCCTAAAATATCTGGGTTTTGTCTGTTTTCATATTGAAGGTCTTTCTGAGGTCCTCATGCATTATATGTACAGCGTTCTCTGTAGATCCACAGCACAATTGGTAGATTATGTACAATGTCTACACACTATTG